TCTTTCTCTGAGAAACAGATGAATAGTCACTGCGCTCCAGGTCCTACAATCAGCCAACAACATGTTTGATATTGACATGAGTACAGCAAGAAAACTATCTCCCAGTTAACAAAAATGTGTACAGAGAAAATCAAACGTGTCTGAGAAAAAAAGTTGACATATTCTAATATAGTGCTATTGTGTGTAGCATGTACTCCTTATAAATGAAAGCATCACTATTAAAAAATGGATTATATTTTAAAGGCATTAGAAAAATCACATAAAAGCATCCATTTACGACATACTTTAAAATATTTTAAACTGGGAATAAATCAAATATTACTGATTTTAATTTAAATTACAAAATGAGTCACATTAACAAACCAGTATCATTTTAAAAGTGGTTAAAATATATAAATTGACATTTGAAAACTCATTAATATTAATTACTGACAATAGGATTATTGACAAATACAGTCTAATAATCTTCACATACCTTTTTTGGAATAAAAATATAAATATTTTCACTGCTTTTTGAACTGGACCATTTTTTCTCCACCATCTATCTATCTATCTATCTATCTATCTATCTATCTATCTATCTACCTACCTTTCTATCTATTCATCATTCATTCATTTATTCACTTTACATCCTGATCCCAACCTCTCCCTCCTCTTCTCCCAGTCCCACCCCCACACTCTGTTCCTTTCATTCCCCCTCTCCTTCCCAGAGAAGGTGATGCCTCCAGTTGGTACCAGTCCACCCTGGAATCTTAAGTCACTGAAGGACTATGCATATCCTCTATCCTCAGGGATGACAAGGCAGCCCACCTAGAGGAAGGTCACCCAGCAGCAGGTAACAGATTCAGAGACAGCCCCTGTTCCTAAACGGGATCTTTTTACTACTCCATGTTTGAAAAATTCATTAACATAATAAACAGAGAACTATTTTAACACTAGGCTAATGAACAACAAACTTTTAAATTTAAGGAAATACCCATGGCCATCTTTTTTCATGTAAAGCACAATCATAAACACTGAGAAGGCACGCCACAAAGGCTAATACCTATCTTAATGAATCAGCCAGGTCAGGGTCGGCATCATATGGACACAGAGCTAGAGCTCCAGAATATGTATAGCAGCCTTCTATGGCCTGATTCCACACAGATCAAAGTCACCTGATCGCTGTATGGCCTCAGAGTGAAAAGGCTTTCTCAATATGCTAATTTGTGAAAGGGCAGTAAATGGTCCTCTATGTAAATCACTCTGATTTCTTCTTAGGATACATTAAACAAATTCCCTATGTTTCCATGCACATTCTGTAACTGTTTACCACCTGGTTTGCTAGCAAGTGAATCCCATAGATAGTGCTTACAACCCAATTGCTCTCCATTGTCCTTTCATAATCCAAACGTTATTTTTATTGTTATATACAGATAAAACCATGTCTAATATTCATCTTGTGCCTATGCCCCCGATTCCTTACATGCTTTCAAGAATATGATTTTAATTCAAATTCTTGTTTGTTATTTGTTTGACGATTGTTTGCTTAAAATAATTTTGAATGCCAGGGATATTTATTTTTATTTTCTCAAATGTCTCAATATTCCCATCTTTCAGAGAAATCAGTAGAAATTTAAAAACCTGTTTTGTTAAGGTTTGCGATCGTATCTAAAGACCACCCTAACTTTTCCTCAGAGACATACTCTGGAATCCTGCATGAAGGTTTTTCTCAACTTTTCATTTACTGTTTTGGATAATATTCACTTATTAAAACTGGTGAAGTGCTGGAAACATTTTATCAGCATGCCTTTGATGTTACATCTCAGTTAATTAATTAACTTAGTCTTTTATCAGTAGGCTATTCATGATCTTTGCTCATTTTTGAAGCAGTATTTGAGCACAGTTATCTTATCTGAAAACTGACCTTTACAGAAAAAAATTGTCTCTCAGACTCTCAGAGTAGGCCAGGATTTGGGAAGCTAAGACAGAATGATCAAGGTCATTCTCAGCTACAAAGCAAGTTCAAAGCCAGCTTGAGTTACTTTAAGCTCTGCTTATTAAAAACAACAACAAAAAACCAAAAAATTTATCAAACATGAGGAGGAACTGGAATTGCCACATTCCTCATTTCACCCTATATGCCCCCACAACACACATGGGGATTTCTTAACATTTGCTGTTGTGGAAGGAGAACAGACTTGAGTGAGCTTTGAAGAGTCAAGAACTCCTGACGAATAACTGCAGGAAACATGGCTACAACACACAGAAGCTACTGGCTGCTGCAGAGAGGAGGCTTTCTCTATGCAGGCTCAGACTTCTGATCAGTGTGAACAGAAAGAAGCCTCTTCACACAGCTAGCACTGTGATCTAGTTTATCAGTCACTCAGACACATTCTCCCCTTCATCAGGGCATCTTTTTATTTTGCTTTCTGTTCAAAACACTGGGGCACAAAGGATGTTCTTCATCGAACACCACTGAAACAAAATCTTGAGGTAGGAAAAAAAAAAAAAAAGGAAAGAGAAAAACCTTGCCCTAAATTCCCTTTCAAAAGTGAAGCGTGAAAGACATCAAGCAGAGCACACAGCACTATTGTTGTGGGGAGGCCAAGGCCAAGGCCAACAGCTTGGCTCTGCTGCCTCCTCAACAGTGCATAATAAAAACACCCAGGGAGAAAGAGCTCTGCTGGGAAAAGAGATTTCTCTTTGTCCTTCCTCCTTATTGTCATTAATATCCATGGGCCCAGCTGTTTCCTTTCTCCAACTAAGCCTAAATCAATGCTATAATATTGACCCCTTTTTACTGGATCCCCAGGGCCTATAATACATCTCCTTATAACCACTCTGAGCCCAGAAAATTTCAAATGTATTTTTAATTGAGCAGCAAAAGAGAAAGCCTGAATATCTGATTTCATTTGGTACTGTTCTTAAAAATAGTTTTTTTTTTAATTTTAAAAGGGTCAAAATCTTTGATTTCATGAATTTGCTTGGACATTTAAATATCTTCTAATTTAAAAGTTATAAGCTAAGATAAAAAGATAATTAAAATAAAATGTTTAATGAACAGAATGTGTAATATTTCTTTATAGATAAATTATTACAAACTTTCTTTTCATAATGTCATCTTGTTTTGTAAACAGGAAGACACAGGCTATCTAAATTTTCTTTACCTAACTATACAAATAACACACTGACATCATGAGATAAATTGTTTTAGGGTACATAGTTTAAGTATAAAATGTATTATTTATGACTTAAATTGAGTTTTGTGTGTGAGAGCATAAAGACACACTACAAATGTGAGTTGCAGTGGTATTTCCAGTGAGGAATCTGATACCACAATGACTCCTGCTGGATTCTACTGAAAGTCCTATTAGTCCAGGCAACAAAATGACTCACAGATTCAGAGAAAACCAAATCAAGGCCACAGAGATAGGAAAAGCTATTTGAAACCCATGTGTTTTTTTACTACCAAGTGAAAAAAAAAAGTGTATTTAAAGAAAAGCTGTACAATAAACAAACTCATAAATTAATGCAGATGCTAAAGTTTGCCTATGTAGCCATTCTTATGTCACTTCTTAATTTAAAGCATGATGTTAACTGTCTCCATACCTAGGTGAAACACAAAATTTATTCTCCACAACTGACATTTAACTAACTATATCTCTATAGCTATAGAGATGTTGCTAGACATTATGTTTGTGTTCAAATCATTCGTCTTCATTTATTTCCTATAATTCTCCACTTCATAATCCCACATACCTAAAAGTGAAAACCTATGTGTAAAGTTGCTATTAGGCTGAAGGGCGGTGGCTTCAACAGATGCACATACTTGTCAAGAAGAATAATCAAAGTCACTTGTTCACTAAGTTTTCGGAGAGCACATTTCTTTATGCACCACATGACTGTGTAATTATTGATTTGCCCTTTTTCTTTTAAATTTAGAATACCCTCTCTTCTCTGCTGAGGAATTTCTCAGACATTTAATGGCCATCTCTGACATCTTATCTCCTCACCTTAGAACACATACATATGGCCTTAGCATGTGAAATGTCAAGTTCCCACTATCACTGTGGTGAGTTTGCAGGATTTAGCAGAAAAAAATACTATTATTTGAGGCTTGGGGACAAAGGCTCTTTTAGCTGTTTGGAAGGTAGTTTATGTGCTTATTCCCTGAAGAATGCTTGGTTTAGTTTAATGGCAATATTGGGAATTATGTGATTTGATAAATTGACTTTTAGAGCCTTACACAAAAAGACCCAAAGCTTTTCTTTTTCCCATTAGATGTATCCATTCTTGGCTCTGTTCCACTTTACTAAGACTGATTCTCCACATTAGAATTACATTGCAGGGGTACTTCTGCAATAAGCTTGGACATTTAATCCCAGAATGTCAGGCAGTTCAGAACCACTCACTAGTTCAATACATCCTATGTTTCCTTCCAAGAAATTTAGACTCTTACTGTGTGGTCTGGAAATGGAATTGCCAAAATTCAATCAGAAGACAAAACAGGAAACAGCAATCTCAGAAGGTATTTTCACTGAGGTGTCTGCCTTCTGCACTTACTTCAATATCCTTTATACATATCTGATTTTAAACCCTAAAAACTGTCAAATACATAAACTAGTAAACTTCAGTTTCAACAAAGACAGAACTGAAAACTTCACCCTTCACAGAGGTGGCAACACCTTGTCCTCCCTTGGTGGTGCACAAATTTCCCCGTGAGCACAGATTAGAGCCTGTAAAACTCAGCCCTGTGCACTCTAGTCCTGCATGCAGTTCCCACGGACAGCACTCAGCTGTCACTTCTGCACTTGTACTTTATCAGCCAGGTGACCAGGAGGGAGACAGCAGGTGCATTTATCTATATCGACTTGATAAAATTACAAGGCAAGCGTCCAGTTTCCTCCCACTTTTTAAGATAATCTGAAAACAACAGCACACAAAAACTGCAGGTGGTTATGCTGGGAGAAAAGCAGCTCTGAGACCCCAACAGCTAAAGTCTTGAAGGAAACACTTACCCAGGCCTTCAGATTCAAAAAGACATGTTTCATCCACCCCCAAGTCTCGGCACCAGGATAAGAAATTGGCTGTGTTATCTCGGGCAAAAAAGGAGCCTGAGGGTGCACTGGCTTTGTAGGGGATCTTTTTCAGTGGCAGAGTCTGGAAAATAATAATAATAAAAAAAAAATTCAGTCTCAGTCTGGTGGGATGCTGGCTAAGTCATCTCAGAGATACATTAAAAATGCACATACACTTGCAACAAAATGCTTTGAAATTTACCTCATGTCAATAAATATGCTGTGAAGAACAAAGAAAAAGAATGTAATGTATGGAAACACAGGAGACTGAATGTCTGTGCAGCCAGTACACACCCTTGTCTCAGCAATACTCACCAGTAAATGCACATGAGCCCTTTTCCTAATGCAGATTGAGTTTTCTTTTTCTTCTGTAATTGTACTCTTGCTTTTTCTTTCATCTAAATAATCTACCAGTCTTCTTCACAAAGTATGTAAATGTGTTTTTATATCAATATTACAAATTAGATGAATGTATCCTATGATGTATGCAGATACAGTGTCAAGTTCACAAAATACAGGAAGTGTGCACAAGCTGAAACCAGAAGGCAGCAGAAGAGCTCTCCACCTCACATGTCTCCATGCTGGTAACAAGAAGATATAAACACCTTTAAAGATAACAATGCATGGCAATCCCTCTAGCTCCTTTCTTTTAGACATATGATGTAGCTTCACCTTAATATGAAATAATTCATATTAAATTTGATGTTTTTACTCTCAAAGGCACTATTTACATTCTGTGTCAGTTCACTTTTGACATGAAAGAAAATGATTAGGATACAGACGTATGTGCACCTAAAGGACTGTCTTGCTAACCTTTTCCCTGGAATCATAGCCAGGAACCATTGCTTAGCACCACCACAAGTGCTACAGGCTTTTCCTCTAACAGAGCAGACCTCATTTCCAAGCACTACACAAAGCCAAGGAACTCATGTGATGTTAAAGCCGGGGCCAAAGTACTTCATACATGTGAGCTACTTAAGAACCTTGCTGAAAGAGCAAAAAGATCCAGGGAGACTATTTGGTCATTTAGACTGAGAGACAGAAATGTCCTCTGCTCACAGGAGAAGCAACATGCTTTGGGATGCTGAGTTCACATACAGGGAAGTATAACAAGGCAAAACAGTGGTCTGACTGAGCTGGTGAAGTTCGCACAGTTCCTTACACAAAGAAATTTTATGGCTATAATAGGAAGTGCCTGTTGCTATAGCCTGGAAGGGCGTGCTGAGAGGCAAATCTTTCTACTAAAGATTAAAGTTGATATGAAATACATAAAGTGACATTTTTTTTCTGTGAATGTTCTTTTTTTTAAATTTTATTTAACTTTTATTAATTACACTTTATTCATTTTGTATCCCCCCATAAGCCCCTCTCTCCTCCCCTCCCGGACCCACCCTCCTTCCCCTTTCAGCCTGCATGCCCCTCCCCAAGTCCACTGATAGGGGAGGTCCTCCTCTCCTTCTTTCTGATCTTAGTCTATCAGTTCTCATCAGAAGTGGCTGCATTGTCATCTTCTGTGGTCTGGTAAGGCTGCTCCCCCCTCAGGGGGAGGTGATCAAAGAGCAGGCCAATCAGATTATGTCAGAGTGACATTTTTACATGAATACTCAAGTATGCATATGTTTTATGTACTATAGTTATATTAAACAATATATGTATATACATATTTTACATATGCAGCTGCCTACATGGTAATCACATCTTTTTGCCTTTTATTAGTGTATATTAATTGTACAAAATATTGAGTTTCACAGTGACATCTTTATGTATGCATATAACAGTTGACAATGTGCACATGAGGCACATTGTTTCCCCTCCCCTGAGTCTAACACCTAACACCTCATCTTCTGTTTTACTTTCACATCTTCTTTATAATCTGGACACTGCACATGCAAAGTATCCTTCTGAGTCTGGCTTATTTGCTCAATATGGTGATCTCCAATTCTACCCACTTCCCTGAAAATGACATAAACTATTCTCTATGTCTGATTCTTCATTGTATAACATATATCCCATTTTTCTTTAATCATTACTTTATTTCTCGATAGGCATCTAGACTAAATCCCTACTTGGCTAATGTGAATCATAGCACAATAAGCAATGGTGTACAGTCACCTCTGTGCCTTATTGACTGATTCCTCCCAGGACAAACCCAGGACTATTTTAGCAGGCTTTGTAGTAGTTCTATTTTTAGTTTTGTGGGGGAATTTTCATATTGATTTCCACAGTTATTGGACTAGTTTACATTTACCACCAATGAGGTATCATTATAACTTTTTCCTCCCCTCCAACCTTAGCAGCATTTGTTGTTTTTACTCACATAGTAATATCTGGTTAACTGATCCAGTTCAGGTTTCAGCAGTCGTTTTTAAAAAAAAAAAAATGCTTTCACATATGAGTCTCAAAAACAATCATATATATCATGATATAGTGTCTCCTTTACAAACTATTCATAAACACCAATTATTCTTTTAAGGTTAAAATAAAAATATTCATGTTTTTAAATCTAGCAATGTAGTCCTAAGAATATACCCTACTTAACTAAGCAGGAAAAATAGAAATAATGAGTCCAGAGTGAGCTGGTAAAGTACCATGGAGTACGTAAATACAATGCATTCTGTATGATTATTTAAAAGGAATAAAACATACATGTACTAAGGCATAAATATGCTCAGAATATACTCTTAGGTAGAGAGTAATTCACACATATGTACTATGATTTTATTCTATGATATATGTAGGTATGCACAGATGATCTATGCATGTTTAAATTTCACATAAAATATTAATACTCATACATTTATAAAATAAAATTTATAAATAGGTCAAGAAAATATGCATCAAATTGTAGAAGATATGGGTGATTCAGTAGGATTTTGAGTGACTTTTGATGTTAAATAAAAATCCAACATCAAAATGTGGTAGCTGGGATTAGAAAACCACTTCATTTTAAAATTTGATCGACTCAGATGTGAATAGACACATGTGGATAATGGTTATTATATTAGATGGCACACTAGATAAGAAAGCAAAGCCTTCATCTCATGCTTCATAAAATGTATTTGAACACTGGACTACTTTTTCTCAAAAGGGAAATAATATCTTCATACCTCCTACCCCTCTTCAGACAGAGTATCCCCATGTATAAGACAGATACTCAATGGTACAGGCAAAGGATTTTACCTGAAGGATAATGCTCAGCTTAAAAATGGAGTTGTTATGGCATCAGCGTATTTCAGCGTCAAAGGGTAGTAGTGACTACTCCATGTGTGTTGCAAGTATTATCTATCCCTAGGGGCAGGGTCTTGTCCACTGTCCAAGAGCAGAGTGCCTCTGTGAGGCCCACAGTGGGCGTGCGCTACTGACCCTCCGCATTAAGAAGGAGTGACCCAGAGTCCGTAGTGTTTACCACAGGGGAGGCACAGAATACATGTTTATATATGGACCTCTCTACTGAAATGTCAAAGGATGACACCCTGAGTTAGATGACTTAGAGGACAGCACGTCCATCTTCTGGATGGAGAGGTTGAGCTCGTACACAGTTCAAATTTAATCACCGAGTTTCCCTTCCATGAGTTTTAGCTATTCCATTATAGCTCGAATTTATTTTGAAGCTTGTATATTTTAGCATTTGGTATTTCTCAAATTTGGGCCAACTAAAGTTAAAATGAATAAGTATGTATTACCTGTCACCTATTCCAGTAACTAAAAAAGTAAAGTAAATGAAACAGACTGAGAAAATGCTATTTTTTAATTCCCCTTATATTTAATTCCCTTTACAGCATTTTAATTCTGACAGTTTAAGTTTTTTCTTCACAAAAGCTCAAGACAGACGCCTAATTTTAATTACATCAAGTAGACATTTCAGATATAAAGCAGAAGATTTGGTACTGGCCAAGAAGTAAAAAATTTTTTTTTTCCAAAAGGTATGTGGAGTAGTGTGCTATTCAAATATGCAGGCAATGAAGTCACTTTTTCCATAGTGGAAATAACATTTCCACTTGAATCCCGGTTGTTCTCTGATTCCCTGTATATTTTATTGAAAAGTAATCTCTCTCAGTAAAAATTTTTGCTGACATTTAAAGTACCAAAGTTTGTAAATTCAAATACCAAGTCACCTGAGAAAGTATAAAGAAAGGCAAGATGGTTCAGTAGGCAAAGACGATACTGACCACCAATTGTGACGATCCCCAAGTCTCACATGAGGGAAGAAGAAACCCAACTTCTGAAAGCAGTTCTCTGAACACATGTGCAGTGGCACATGCATACCTACATATATACACATACAATAAAAAAGTAAATGTAAAATCTGGAGAGATGGCTCAGAAATAAAGAACACATACTGTTCTTGAGGAAGACCAAGGTCTGGTTCCTGGCACCCACATCAGACAGCTCACAACGAGCTATAACTCCAGCTGCATAGAAACCAATACCCTCTTCTGGCCTTCATGGGCACTGTACGCAATTGATGCACATAAACCCACACAGGCACAGATACAGAAGTAATCAATAAACTACATAAAAATGAAAAAAAAAAACTAAAAATTTTTTTAAAAAGTGGAAATATACTCTTTAAGATAAAAATTATATAAAATTTTAAAGAAAAAAATTAATCATTTTTGTTATTGCATCCTTCTTAGAACTTAGCACCTTGTACTTTAACATTGACTTAATACAGAAGCAAAAGAAAGCACAGACTGGAATTCTCTATGAACCCTCCACTTCCACTGTAAGACAAATTTCACATGGTAGAGATCTGGTATTTGATGAAAATGCTATTGTGTCCATCATGCTGTAAAATCACAGAAATACTCAATGAGAAAATCAAACAAACAAAAACAAAAATAAAAAAGAAACAAATAACAACAACAACAAAACCAGAGCTTTCTGACAGCATAGGCTGCCATATCTTTCCTCCTTTGAAACTGTGAGGATAATTGCTTAGTAGGTCCACCATACTCCAGTGTACGATCACACAGCCAGAAGCATATGGACAATACAAACTGAAATCCATTAGTTATTACATTTAAAAAAAAGAGAGGTCACAAAGTTGGAAGGTAGGGAGGTGGAGGTAGACCTGTGAGG